CGAACGGCGTGTCCGGTAGGACAAGAGCAGCATGTTGATGTTGCTAGTGATGCTGATGCTGATGCTGCTGGTGGTGCTGGTGACGATGACGATGATGACGATGATGACGATGACGATGATGACGATGATGACGATGGTGATGATCATCATCGCGGCGACGTGCCGGATCGCGTCGCGGTACATGCTCTCGGCGCCTCCGACGACCGCTCCGCCACGACGGGGGGGGTGTGTGTTTGTGCTGTCGGTGGAGAGGTGTATGCTACGAGTGGAGGGGCGCAGGCGCTCACGAGCAGCGTCGATGCACCTGCGAGGGAAGGATCGGGGGAAGATATCCCGGGTAATCTCCCTCGCTGATTGCAAGAGTGCTCTCTCTGATTGCAGCACTCGCCGGGCCATCAAGAGTGCTCTCTCTGCTCGAGAGCGTCTTCGGAAGAGAAAGGGGGGCTCGGGGGGAAGGGGGGTCAAGAGGGCCGCACCTACTCACAGCGGACGCAGCTTGAGGCCCAGCACGCAAGAGGCCGCGGCGATCCCCTTCGCCCACGTTGTTTTGGATCTGCGAGCGCGCGGGCGACGGCTCGCGAGCGTCAGAGCCAAAATGGGATGCGCATGGTGCGGGCTCGTGCGGGGCAAGGGTGGAGAAGGGGCCGCAGTGGGCGCGTCTCGCGGCTCCACGATAGCAACGGCCGCAGCAGCGAGCGAAACCGGTGCGAGGCTAGGAGGAGCAGGGGGTCGGGGAGCCGGCGAGCGTGCATCGTATGGCGGGAGCGGTGCGGGAGCGGCGGGTTTCGCGAGCAGCAGGCGTCGCGGGGGTACTGGGCGTGCAGCTCGCGGCGCCCATTGGTTGCGTGGTGCGGCGGGTCGAGGCGAGAGGGAGCGGAAAAACCTGGACTCACGAACGCAAAAACCTGAGCGCGAGGGGGGTTCGTTGATTGCAGCTCTGACAGATACTGATTTGCGCCTACCCGGGTATTGCATTACTCTCTCGAGGTCTAGCTGATCTTTTCCATCAACCCCCGACGGCGAGTGAATGTGTCGCTCGTGCGTGTCGTCATCATCTGTCTAGCGTCCACCCATACCGCGTTGGTGTCCAGTCCGAGCCTGGCTGTTCTTCACCTTTCTACCTACCTACCTACTGAATGTGTGTGTATGTGTGTGTGACGGCGAAGGGGCAGGGGCAGCAGCATTCCTGAGATTGCAGATTGCGTGTCGTCGATGTTTGTGTTTCGGTCACGGACCTAAGTGCCTCGCCTTCCTCGCAGGAGTAGCATAGGCGGCTCCGGTGGCCTTGTTATGAGAAGACAGTGGCCAGGGGCGGGGCTTGCATTTTTGCCGTCGCCAGTCGCCCCCCCCAAACGCTACAGCGGGGGCGGCGGCGGCGGCGGGGGCGGCGGGGCGGCGGCGGCGGCGCGACGGGGTGGGTAGGGGGGTGGGGAGCCGCTGCCGTGTGCGCTGCGCGTGCGCGCACCGCACACCATACGGCGGGAAACAGACGGCGAAGGGGGGCGCGGCGGCAGCGGCGCAGCGCGCGCGCGGCGCGCGCGACCGGGCGTTACCGCCCCGTGGGTGCCCACTGTCTCCGCTCCCTCCCGCTTGGGCCGCCGTCGCGTCCCTCGTTCGTCCCACTGGCTGTTGGCCTGTCCCCTCGTTACCTCTGTTATCCCTCCTCCTCCGCGACTCCCTCAAGGCTGGCCGGGCCTCCTTCCACCCAGCGAAGAGCTTCCTCAGCCACTCAATCGTCAATGTGTTCCTCTCTCTTCATTATGCGCGCAGTAGCCTCATCGTTGAGCTGGATCCACCTCTGCACCGCTCCCGTCGCCGCCTCGGCCACGACTTGCAAGTTCCTCGTAACCCCGGCGCCAAGGTCCCTCCGACTCTTCTCCGAGAGATCATCTACCAGCGCCGGCAACACCCCCCCGACGGCTGGGGCTAGTGCATCGTACCCGTCCTCATCCAGCACCCTATAGCGTGAGCCCTTCAGCGCAGCGACATGCGCTATCCTCAGCGTCTTCAGTGTATCCTTGGAGTCGGGTGCCGCCTGGGCTACTTTGCTGATCGCCGTCCCCGTCTGCGCTCGCGCTACTCTGAGGAACCATCTGGCCTGCTCCCTATTCCCCAGGCAGGCGCCGCTAAGCAAGTGCGCCATTGTCGCCCTAGGCGGGTTCTCATCTTCCTCGGTCCATTGCTGCGCGGCTTTCCGCACGATCGGACACAGCGGGTCTCGCTTTAGCCTCTCGAGCCGTTCTGAGGCGCTTAGCTCCTTCTCCGCATCGGCCTCCACCTCGTCATCGAACACCTCCTGTACCGTATTTGTGAATCTCTCCTCCACCTCCCGATCCATGAATGTGCTCACCCCCCGCTCCCGAAACTCGCGAGGCCCTCCCACACCACCCACTCCTCCAAAGAATTCCACCGCCACCGCCCTGTGGTCGTCACCGCACACCCCCGGCATTGTGCTCGTGCGCCCCATACATGACGCGAGCCCAGATGTGACCACCCAATTGTCAATCTGCGTCCCTGCTCGGTAGGTGGCTTCGTCCGCCATGGTCAGCAGCTCTCTGCCTCCATCCCCCAGCATCTGCTGGAACAGCCTGTCCGCCAGGGTCGCCCTCTGTGCGCCCCTTTCCCTCAGCGCCTCCTCCGTCTCTGCGTTGAAGTCCCCCCCGATCATGTATTCTCCTCTCGTGGCATCTAGCGCCTCTGTTAGCTTCTCCCACGTCGGTCTCACCACCGTCGCCGTCCTCTGTCTCACCGGCATGTAGACCCCGAACTGCGTCCACTTCCTGCAGCTGGCCACTTCCTCTACCTCGACGCTCACTATTCTCCCCTCCTCAACTTCGGTCGCCACCGCTCTCCCTTCGGTGTCCCTGTTCTCTACTCGGATGTGGGTGGGGTCCCACACGATCAGGACCCCGGTATGCATCTCCCCCGAGATGTGGTCGCACCACCCTGGCGTGCCGCACCCGTCCAGCCCTCTGGTCTGAAGCAGGGCCACGGTCTCTTCCAGCTCTTGCCTAGTCTGTTTGGTGTCTGCGAGGGTGGCGATGGTCACACACCCCTGCTTGATGATCCCTATCACATCTTCTAGCTTCTCTGTCGTGTCATTCCCTGTATCTCTCACCCGACTCGCGCCCCCTGTCCCCCCTCTCAGCTCCTCGATCTCCTCCATCGTCTCACCCCGCCTTTCCAGGTGCAGCCCGCAAACGTTGAGCGTGATCGCCGATATTCGCGAGTGCTGGATTTCTTTTGTGCGGTTCTCCAACTACGTCACGTGGAATTCTAATCCCAAATGCGTTTTGGCAGCGTGCGCTTCACAGCCTCACGAGATAAACCCTAATCTGAATCTGTCACAGAGTGACAGAGACACAGTCTTCTGTGTGCAGTCGTCACACACACGACAACAAGAGAGTCACTCTTCTCTCTCACACACGACAAGAAGAAATTCACGAGACACGTGCTGCCGAAAAAGAGAAATAAGCAGCGCCAAATGCAAATGTTTTCTCTCTCCGTCACCTCCTAATATGCGTCAACATGATCTCAGCATGAGGGCTGCGGCCGAAGCTGCTCCGACGAGTGGCAACGCGTCAAGCTCTCGCTCGGCGCGGTCCTCACCTCCCTGCGCAGCGGCGCCTCGGACCACTCGTGCTCGAGGTGGTCGTGCCTCAGCTGGTACGCCCTCCTCCAGGCGTCCCTCCACGCGTCGTCGACGGCGGAGAGGAAGGAGTCGAGCGTGCTGTGGTCGGACGGGTGCAGCGGCTCCGAGGTGGCGCGGTACAGCCGACTCGAGAAGGAGACGCGCCCTCTCCGCTCGTCCATGATCTTCTCCTTCCCCACAGTGATGACGACCAGCGCCGCGTCGCCAGACTCGTACACATTCTTGAGCCCGCCCACGCGGAGCGGCACCGGCTCGTCCGCGTTGGCGTCAAAGGCGCGCCGCGTCCCCTCCGGGTAGAGCAGGTACCGCTTGTGACTCCGGCAGCGCCGCGCGAGGTCCTCGCGCGCCGTCTTTGCCCAGCACGGCGTGTCGCTCCTCGAGATGGCGAGCACGCGGCCGGCGCAAACGCCGAGCAGGCCGCTCAGCATTGTGGCGGCGATGGCGGCGGTGCGCGCGATGACCACCGCGTGGGCCTGCGCCGGATCGACCGCGAAGTCGCCCCACGAGCGGTGGTTCATCAGGACAGCGCCTCTAAAGTGCAGCACCCCCGGGAGCAGCAGCCGCGGAGGCGCGTCGGCGGCGTCGTAGATGCGGACGCCGTGCACGTGGCAGAAGGCGTGGGCGCACAGGCCCCACGGATCGCTGAGCCAGGGAGGGATCGCCTCGCTGGCGCCGGCAGCCAATGCGGCAGAGGCGAGAGGCCGCAGCAGCAGCCAAATGGCGGTGCACACCAGCGGCGCCGGCAGTCCCCACCAGAGCGACGCGAGGGCGAGCGCCGCCCACCCGAGGAGCGCGGTGAGCCGTTGCAGGGCGGCGGCGCAGCACGCGTACATGGCAGCGCCGGGCCAGGCGATCGATTCTGTCGTCCAAGAAATCTAAATCTGCGCGTCTGGTGTCCCCTAGCCAGGCCTCACGCGCTGGCCGCGACCGCGACCGCTCGAGCCCGAACTGCCCGTCAGACATGTCGGAATTGTCGGAGAATAGCGACTAGCACACCTCTGAGTCCCAGAAACCCGAGGAGTCATACAGTCCACCTGTGAGCTGTGTGCTGTGTGATGCACGCCCTGCGAGCGGGGCGGGGTGCGCACTGTCCCTCTGTGTTCGTGTGCGTCGCCCATCTCTCCCTGGAGATGACTGCTCTATTTATTTATTTATTATTAGGAGAGATAGGAAGAGGCGGACGCCCAAGGGTGGGCGACGGCTAGCGCACCACACCCCTCTCCTTAAAATCCCTGTGTGGTGGCGGCGTGCCGTCCTCCCATCCCTCCCTTGGGTTGTCCGTTTTCTTTCTTTATTATTAGCTCCGAGTAGAGGGGGCGCTCCGCAGCTAGGGGAAACGCAAAGCGCAGACCAACCCTCGGAGAATCGTGTTTACTTTAAGGCCCCTTCCCTGCGAACGCGCACCCCCGGGGCTAGGGCTCTCTAGCCCGTAACCCGAGGATGCCAATCATCCGGCCCGCCGGGTGCGCTTCTTAGCTCCCCGGCCCTGGATGTGCGGTTGATGACTGCACTCCAAGTGCTCCAAGCGGGCGTGTCCAAGTGCTCCAAGCAAGATCCAAGTGCTCGTGGGAAGGCAGCTTCGATTTGCCATCCAGACATGGGTACGAAACAACGACAAGACAGGCACGAGCAGAGGGAGAACCGTCCCCGTCAAAGTCTAACGAAGTCCGCCCGTCGAGACGGAGATCGAGTGAGTCCGTGGCGTCTTCGCCCTTGATTGACCTCCACGATCCTCGATCGTGGAAGGCGCCCGTACGTTTGGGATAGCGTGTCGGGCTTCACAAAAGGGCTGACGCGACCAGTCGAGCCGCTGCCACGTGCAAGCCCCACCCGGCTGGCGGGTGGACCTGGGGGCGTGCCTGCTTGCTCTAGACTACCACCACTGCAGGACCCAAAAAAAGAATACTGCGGCGACGCCGTCTTCGGGGGCGGGCCCACTCTAAAAGAAAGAAAGAAAGAAAGAAAACAGACAAACCCAGACGAGGGATGGGGGAGGAGGACAGGGTCCCCACCTGCACGAGCAGGATTTTGGAAGGACGATCAGGGGGACAGGTGGGGCTCTCCTGCTCCTGACAAGGGACACGACAGGCTCGCAGCGCGGTGCGCGGTGGGCTCCCAACTCCACTGGCGGTCTCATCTCAGTCTAGTGACCTGCCTCCAGCTTCCCGCTGGCAGTCTCTCACTACCACAGGCACACTGACACAGGGGTGGCAGGGGCGGCGGCAGGAGTCACCCACATTACTATGCGGGCCTCACTAGAGGTGCGTCCTGTGTCGTGTCCTCGTCCTTGATGTCTTGGGGGAAGGGGAATGGGCTGTGTGTCTGTGCATGCATGTGTGTGTGTGTGTGTGTGTGTGTGTGTGTGTGCGTGCGTGTGCGTGTGCTGTGCGACCCGCCCTGAACGACCACAATGGCGAGCGCGCCCGAGCACCGAAGCGCCGCGAGCGCCGGCGAGCACCGCCGCCCCGCGCCTTGGCGTGGAGCGGTAAGTACATGAGGCAGCGCCCAGCATGCTCTATCATGCGTCGCACCCGCAGTGGCCGAGCCGACCGCCGCTCGAACTGGCGCCGAGTGGCTCCCAGATCGAGCGCGGCAGGCTCAGTCGCACCCTCGCGGAGCGAGCGCCAGTCGAGCCGTCGCCGTTCGCCGCAGCCGTCAGCCGTCAGCCGGCAGCAGCCGGCCGCCGGCAGCCGGCAGCCGGCGGCCGGGAGCCGGCAGCCGGCAGTCGCCGTCGCTGCCGCCGCCGCAGCAGCAGCGAGCGAGCTCCTGCGTCGCGTTTTGCCGACGCAGTGTGGACGCGCGCCGCCCAGCGGCGAGCGAGCGTGCTCGGAGCTGGGTCGGCGCGCGCGCGGGCGGACGGCGCCTGTAAACAGACAGCCGTCACAGCCCACTCGTTCAAAACCAACCTCACTTGGAGCACTCTCACTTGGAGCACTCACAGCTGTTGTTCTCGCTCGCCTGGCCGCATGCAGCTCGCCGATGACTTTGCGGACGACGCCGCGCTTGCCGCAGCTCTGCCGTCGGACCTGGACGCCGCCCTCCTTCTGCTGGCGAGCCGCTGCCCTCAGGCGGCGCGGCTGTGCGGCGGCGCTGTGGAAGTGGCGACGCTCGCGCAGGTCTACTCGCTCGTGAGCGACCGGACTGCGGTGGATCGTGGCGTGGAGCGGCAGCGCACCGAGGGCTCGCTCCTCGTGCTGCAGCTCCCCGCTGCGATGCGCGACGAGAGCCTCCTCGTGCGGACGCGGCAGGTCGAGGCGGCGCTCCGCACAGAGGCGGAGGCGGCCGAGTCGACCGAGTCGGCTGAGGCAGCCGAGGCTGCGTGGGCGCTCCGCGTGGGAGTGAGGCTCGTGCAGGGCTGCCCGCGCCCGCGCGTCGACGAGGGGCGCGTCATCGACGCCGCCTCCGCCGCCCCGCCGCCGCCGCCGAGGGGCGTGACGGGTGGCGGCGGCGCCGCCGCAGCGCAGGCCGCCGCCGCGATCCTCGTGCGGCGCGGCTGGCTGGTTCCGCTGCGCTCGATGGCGGTCGCGGGCCCGGGCGAGGCTCCTGCCGTCGAGGGCACCGCGTGGCTCTGGTCGCTGCCGCGGTGCGGGCTACTCGTCAAGGCCCTGCTGCAGAGCCGCTCGGACGTGCTGCGCTGCCTCGACCGGCAGCGCTTCGGCCGCGCGCAGCAGCACGTGGTGGAGCGGGCGGCCGCCTCCGGCCTCTCCCGCGGGCATCTCTCGCTGCAGTACGTGCTGCAGGACATGGAGGGGCGAGGCCTCCTCTCCGTGGACAGGGCGGCGCCCGCTGGCACGTCGCTGCTGCTGTCGCCCGCCGGCGTGGAGGCGGCAGGCGCGCTGAAGAGGAAGCGCAAGCGATGAGTGCCTGTCAGCACGCCGTGTCTCGGCGCGTGCCCGCGGGGCCGCAGTGGGGTCTGCGTCTGCTCTGGGTGATTGTGTACGGCTTTATGTATATGTGGTATGTGTGATGGTGACATGGTGTGTGGCACATGGGGATTGGGGTGCCTGGGCGCCCGTCCGCCTTCGAGCGCGTGCGCTCTCCTCGCACCTCGGCTCCTTGATGTCAAACATCAATTAATTTTTATTTTTAGATTTTACAAAATGCGTATCGCGAGCGCCTGTCGGGCTGTGCACGCATCTCGACACATTCTCGAGTCGTGACTCGAGCATGATCTCGAGAGCCGCGCACACACTCTAGACAACATTGGGTCATTGCGCGGGCGTAAACTTACGCGACTGGTGCGAGAGAGGCGAACCCGCGAGAGCGTACGGCCGATACAGAATATGTGTGCCCTATGGTAGACGGAGCGCGGAGATGCCATCTCCTAGGTCGGGTCTGAAACCGGTCTGGCGCGCTGGTCCTCCCTCCCGTCATCGCTGATCTCTAAGAGTGTGTGAGCGTGCGTCTAGTTGTTGTTCTGCTTCGCGAGCCAGTTGCCGATGCCGCCGCCGAGGTCTCCGCCGCCGTCGGAAGTTGTGATGTCGGCCGACTGCCACTCCTTCTCCTTCCGCTCGTACGAAGTGAGGTCCTTGGAGCGCTCGTCGCGCGCGGCCTGCTGCTGCCGCTGGATCTTCTGCCCCTTGCACGCAGCGTTCCACTGCTGCAGCACCTGCTGCTGCGGCGCGGAGAAGTTTTGGCGCCGCTCGACCGCCGCCTTGACGAGGAGGTCGACCTGCGCGAGAGGGGAGGAGTCCAAGCTGGTGAGGCGGGGGAGGGGAGGGGGAGGGAGGGGGGCAGCCGCGGGCGAAGCCACCGAGCTGCGCGCCCACGCGTGCTTGTGCTGCTCGAAGGCCTACCGAGATATGGGGAGATATTGGGAGATATGAGATTGTGCTGCTCGAAGGCCTACCGAGATATGGGGAGATATTGGGAGATATGAGATTGTGGCTCGAAGGCCTACCGAGCCCAACGGCGCGAGTCAGCGCGCCGCGCCCCTCGGGAGGCGTCCCTCTCTCTCGGGCCGCGCGCCGCGTCGACGCAGTCGAATATGGCGTCGATCCAGCGGCCTCTCTCCGCCTCGGGCAAGTGGACGGCGCCTGCGACCGCCGGCGAGGGCGGCGTGGCGAGAGGGCGGCGTGGTGGCGGCGAGGGCGGCGTGGCGGCGGGAGGGCGGTGGGAGGGTGTGGCGCCGGTGTTGGCGAGGCATGCGGCGTGGCGGGTGCGAGGGGTGGCCCACCGGCAGGCTCGAGGGCTGGGTAGAAGCACGGCAGCTGCTCGAGCTTTGCGATCACCTTGCGGACCGAGCCGGCGAACTGGAAGGTGTCGTCGGTGCAGAGGTCGATCTGCACGAGCACGCGCAGCCGCCACACGTCGATCATCGCCCGCTCCTGCGGCGCGGCACAGGGTCGGGCACAAGGGATTTGGGTTTGGGGGCCCCAGACCCCCCCCCCGGGCCTTCACCCCCCCCCCCCCCCGCCATTTACGGCCCCCGCCCTCACCCCCGTCCCCTAGCACGGCCCGCCTCTGCCCCAAAGAGCGACTCCTTGAGGGAGGCGGACAGGTAGAGCCTGCGGTACGCGACGCGCAGCTCGCGAGCGCGGCAGGCCCGCGGAGTGGACACGCCCGCCGCGAGCACCGAGAAGAAGGCCGACGCGTTCTCCGCGTTGACGCGCCCAGACTCGAGCAGGGAGTAGAGCATCGCAGCCACGCGATTGAACTTCTTGGGCGAGCAAATGTGCTGCGCCAGCCGAGGCGCCGCAGAGGTTATCTCGTCTACACCGTCCGCCGCCGCTCCGCTCGCCGCCGCCGCGTCGGAGGAGGCCGCCGCCGACGGCGCCGGGGCAGCTGCGGCCGGCGCCGGTGACGGGGCGGCCGCCGCCTCCTTTGCGCGCTTGGCGGCCGGGGCCTCCTCGAGGTCCTCCAGATCGCCCGCGCCGCCACTCCACGCGGGAATGGGGCCCCTCTGCCGCGGCACGCCGCCCAGCTTCCCCGTGTCCTTGCCGAGCAGGTCGAGCATGCTCTTGGCTGTGGTTGGCGCTGCGCGCTTGCCGGCTGAAGGCGGCGGGACTGCGGCCGGGTCGACGTTGAACTCGGTGCCGCGACGCCACGAGCCGTCGCCCTTCTTGAGCGCGCGCGGCATCCAGTTGCCCGAGGTCGACATGGAGCCGGCGCACTGCTGCAATGTGCCAGAAGAAAGAATTTTACAACGATCCCTCGCACAACACTGGGCACGGGACTGGCGCGCACTCAGAACAAAGAAACCGCCGCCCCAGAAGCTGCGCAGTGCCCCCCTCCCTGTCGCGATGCGCTCCCCGCTCCCGTTCCCCTGTGTCCCTGATCGTCCTTACAAGATCCTGCTCGCTCGTGCAGGTGGGGACTTGGGCTCAACCCAGTTTTCCGGAAAACAAAAAGGAAAACAGAGGGTCCCGTGTGTGTGTGTGTGTACACACACACACAGAGGGTCCCCAGGAGCACTTTGCGTTTCCGGAAATTTCCAGGGAAAACATAGGGTGTTTGGTGCTCCATTCTGCGCCGTTTTCTCCAATACTCGTGCCGTTATTAGGCACAAAACCGCCTCTGAAGACACATCTGTAAGCCATACTACGGCTCTACAGAGGGGACGCGTGCTAGCTGATTGGGTGGTAGCCCGAGCTACCCGGCCTCCGGCGTCTACCGGGAGCTCCTCCGGGACCATCGACCTCAGGAGCTCTCCCGCACCGTTTAAGCGTTTAAGACCGTTTGAGGAATCGGCGGCCCAGGCAGCCTTAAAACGGGCCATGGCCCGCTTTAAGCCGTTTAAGCCGAAAGCCGCAGGCCGCGCCCCAAAAGGCCCACCCTTTTAAGCCTAGGGGGCCCCTAAGTCCGGCGTGCCGTTCGTCGAACATCCCTCCCTGGTTGGGTCCCGTCGCAGAATGAGGCCGTTTCCTATGCGAGAGAGACCCCCTGTGCCCTGTCCTGCCTAGCCCGAAGCCCCGTGACCCACTGTCTCGCTCGCCCTAGCAAAATCCTGCACTAGTGGGGTGACGTGTCGGTGTCCCCCCAGGGATCCCCCAGCCCTAGCTTGGGATGCCCGTCTACTTTCTTTTTCAGGCCGACGAACGATCCGCCGCGAACGTGCCTCGCCGCCCCGACCTCCCCTCTCGAAGGCGAGGCACAGCGCCAGGCTAACCTGGGATCCATCGCCGGTGTTTCGCTGGTGGATGGGATCAAGGAACTGGATGGAGTGGCCAGTCTTCGCGGAGTTGGTGGGGGGGAAGAGAGAGAGAGAGAGAGAGAGAGAGAGAGAGAGAGAGAGAGAGAGAGAGAGAGAGAGAGAGAGAGAGAGAGAGAGAGAGAGAGAGAGAGAGAGAGAGAGAGAGAGAGAGAGAGAGAGAGAGAGAGAGAGAGAGAGAGAGAGAGAGAGAGAGAGAGAGAGAGAGAGAGAGAGAGAGAGAGAGAGAGAGCGAGCGAGCGAGCGAGCGAGCGAGCGAGCGAGCGAGTGTGTGTGTTTGCTGGCTGTGGGTGCGGGGTGGGCCAAAATTAAAATGAAACAAAATTGCTGCGATTACGATGCGCGCGGTTGCCCGCCCGTGCAACCATGAACATTCCAAAACCAAGTATTTGCCTTGTCTTGCAAACCAAACTTCGCACACAGAATCGATACCGGTAAAAGTTGTGATGAACGTAATGGGCTGTATTGGCGTCTGAATCCCAAAAGGGCCCGCTGTGCGCCTTTTCCTACCAAAACTGGCGTGCACAACCGACCGCTGTGCTTTTTCGCCAGGGCCCCTGTCCTGATTGACATGACGGTCCCTCCACCGACGCCCCTCGACCTCTCCCGCCTCTCCGCGGGGTCCTCCTCGTCACACTCGTCGCATAGCGGCGATCTCGACCTCGTCCGGTCGACGTCCACCTCGTCCGACTCCGACTTCTGGCTCGCCCACGAGCCTCTCCACCCAGTTGGGCGCGGCCACTTTGGCGACGTCACCCTCGCGCGCGTCCGGGCGACCCGTGCGCTCGTCGCCGTCAAGGCGGTCGGCAAGGCGGCCGCCACCGAGGGGTGCCCATGCCTCGACCTCACCGCCGAGGCGACAGCCCTCACCGAGCTGAGGCACCCAAACATCGTGCGGCTGATCGCCGTCTGGGACTCGCCCGCCACGCTCTTCCTCCTGCTCGAGCACGCCGCCGGCGGCGACCTCCTCGCCCGGATGCGCTCGCTGCCGGGCGGAGTCCTCCCCGTCGGCGAGGCGAGGCACCACTCTGCGGCCGTCTTCCGCGCGATTGCCTTTCTGCACCGGCGCGGCTACATCCACCGCGACGTGAAGCCCGCCAACGTCCTCCTCTCCGCCTGCGGGGAGGCCCGCCTCGCCGACTTTGGGCTCGCCGTCCGCACCGCCGGCCGGCCTCTCACGCAGATAGTCGGCACGCAAGAGTTTTTGGCGCCGGAGATGGTCCTGTGCGGCCAGGGCGAGGCGCAGGGGTACGGCTCCAGCGTGGACGAGTGGGGAGCCGGCCTCCTCCTGTTCGGGGCCCTCTACGGCTTCAACCCCCTCCAGCGGCGCACCGAGGTTGGCACGCTCGCCGCCATCCTGCGCGCCGAGTGGACTCTGCCCACCGAGAGGACAACCTCCCCTGAGCGGCTCGCAGAGTGCCGAGCGGCGGCGCGGCTGATCGGACGGCTGCTCGTCGCCGACCCGGCCCGCCGCTGGACGGCGCGCCGCTGCCTTCTCGACGACGAGTGGCTCACCGGGGCGGACGCGAGCGACAACGGCGAGGCCGAGCTGCGCTGCTCCATCGTCGCGTGCGAGAACAGGCAGAGCGGGAGCAAACGCGCGTCGGTGGCGACGAGTGGCTCACCAGGGCGCCGCTCCAGAGGATGGTCGTGGTTCAGGGCGCCCCCTCCATTCGCCAGTAGCGAGCCGCCATAGGGCAGCTCGAGTGGCGTGTGGCGTATGCCGCGTGCCGTCCCGTCTCCCGACCGCGCGCTCTCACTTTTCCTCGCGAATTTCCTGCTGCGTGCTGGATGTGCGTGAATCATGGCTCAAGCGTGTGTGCGCTCTCTATCTTTTGGACGTGCGTGGCTCTGTACAGGTTGTTGATCACCGCGACCTCCGAGTTTTGCGTGGCAAAAATCCACAACCACATCATGAGACGAGAGAGAATCTCTCAATGCCGAAACGCGAAACCGGCGAAACTCGAATCGCTCGATGCGTGCAACGATCATGCTTCATGGCAACGATGGCGCGTCTCAATTCTCTCATCTCACGCCTCACGGACGCGCACATGGCGCGAGTGCCGAGAGGAAGGCGCGGGGAGGCGGCCCGCAGAGCGCGCAGGGGCGGAGCGGGGCGGCGAAGTGTGCCAACTCTCGGACCCTCAGTGACCGCCGGCACGCAGCGCCCCTCCGACCCCCCCTCCCCCCTCCCCTCCCCTCTGCCCCCGCACGGCTCTGCCAATCACCGGACTCGGCTCCGGTGAACTCCAAACCATATGCTCCCACGTCCGGCTGCTTGGTTGCAAGCTGAGCAAGAGCAAGCCCTCTCTCTCCCTCGAGGCGGAACGGGTTCCCGCGCAGCGCTAGAGTGCGGCCGCCGCAACCTCGAGCCGCTGCGAGACGCTCTCGGTGGCTGGCTCGTGCGCCTGCCGGGGAAGGAGAGAAGGGGGGGGTTGAGGGGGAAGGGGGAGGGGGGGGGGGGGGGCTCGAACCGCACGGCGGGCACCTGCAGGCGCGCGTGCAGCAGGATGTCGGCGGCACGTTCGGCGAGCATGTACGTGGGCGCCTGCGTCTGCCCTCCGATGATGCGAGGCATGGCGGAGGCGTCGGCCACGCGCAAGCCGCCGACGCCGCGCACGCGCAAGTGGGAGTCGAGGACTGCGGCCGGGTCGGACGGGTCGCCCATGCGGCAGGACGAGGTGAGCGCGTTCGCAGAGTGCACCGACGAGCGGATGTACTCGTCGATCTGCTCGTCGGACTGCACCGCCGCGCCGGGGAAGACCTCCTCTCCGCGGTACTCGTCGAAGGCTGCCGCGGCGCAAACCTGCCGGCCGAGCCGGATGCCTGCACGGAGGAGAGGTGGGGCGCGTGTCGTCGACTCCACGGCTCTTGTGCAAGCAGGCTGGGGTGGCGGGGGTGGCGGTGGGGGCCGAGGTGGCGGTGGTGGTGGTGTGTGTGTGGGGGGGGGGGGGGGAGGGGGGCGGTAGGGGTGGTGGCGGTGGGGGAGGTGGCGGTAGGGGAGGGGCGTGCCGTGGCGCAGCGACGCGACGTCCTCCGCTGCGCCCAAGTGGATGCCCTCGATGATCGGCTTGGCGAACGGGTCGGCCGACCTATTCACAGTTAGAGGTGTGAAGAGACGCTGTTCACAGCCTCCTGGCTTGGCGAACGGGTCGGCCGACCGCAGCCGCACGCGCCCCTCGCTCCGCGGGCGGCAAGCGACGACCTGCGTCGAGAAGCCCGGCAGGAAGCGCGCTCTCCTGCCCAGGTCGATCGGCTTAGGGTTAGGGTTAGGGTTAAGGGTTTGGGTTAGGGTTAAGGGTTTAGGGTTAGGTTAGCTCTCCTGCCCAGCTCGATCAGCGTGTTCATCCCGGAGGCGGACGAGGCGCGCGCAGGCACGAAGCGGATCTGGACGTCGGGCTGGTCGAGGTCGGGCGAGGAGCGGACGAAGCCGCCGTGGTCGCACGCGGCGCACGCCAGCGGCCCGCGCCCAAACAGGAGCCAGCGCAGCATCGCGAGCGGGTTGACCAGCGACGCGTAGCCCTTGAGGAGCGCGTCGTCCGTCGCGGCGACCGCTTTCTTGCTCTCGTACGAGACGACCACCGCGGGGTGGTCCTGCAGGCCGGACCCCACCCCAGGCAGGTCCGCCCGCACCGGCACGCCAACCTCGCGCAGGTGCTCCGCCGGGCCGATCCCGGAGAGGAGCAGCAAGTGCGGCGTCTGGACCGCGCCGGCGCAGAGGACGGCCTGTGCCGACGGGAGGCAAGACGTGTCTAGGGACTGTCTAGGAGGTGTCTAGGAAGTGTCTAGGAAGTGTCTAGGAAGTGTCTAGGACGGCCTGTGCCGACGGGAGGCAGGGAAGGGGGAGAGGGGGGGGGGGGGGGGGAAACGGCCTCCGAGGAAGGGTCCATGCTTAGGAGGAGGGGGAGGTGTGAAGGGGAGGTGTGAAGGGGAGGTGTGAAGGGGAGGTGTGAAGGGGAGGTGTGAAGGGAAGGGTCCATGCTGAGGGGGAGGGGGAGGGAGGATGCCCTCTGCCCGCCCCGCCTCTACGACTACTCCTCGCCGCACCTCTCCGCCGCGCGCGAGCCGGACGGAGCACGGCTCGCGCTCGTCGCCTGTGATACATTCAATGTGCCGTGTGAATGTCCACTCTCATCCATTAGACGCAGCACGGCTCGCGCTCGTCGCCGCGTGCAAACTCGACGCCGGAGACCTGCAGCCGGCCCGCGCCGTCGTACGCACTGTCGAGGGCGAGGCGGGTCGCCTGCGCGCCGGTCACCACCACCAGGTTCGCGCGCTCTCTCGCCGCCGCCAGGTAGCCTACAGCAGAGGTAGCCACGCCCCTGCGCCGCCAGCCCCGCCGCCCCCCACGGCCCCGCTCGGTGCTGCGATTAAGCCGCACCGTCGGCAGCGGTGCAGCGGCGGCCGGCCCGCTGGGTCACCTTGTAGCGGCCGTACCCCTCCTGCGGGCTGGACCAGTCGTTGAAGTCTCCGTTCGGCCGGAAGCCCAGCTGCCCCATCGCCCGCAGGAAGGTTGCCGAGAGTTGGTTCTGGTACGGCACCTCCTGCACCGAGACGTGCCCGCCGACGGCGTGGTACTGCGAGGCGCCGTCGCCGTAGTCCTCGACGCGGAGGTAATACGGGAGCACGTCCTTCGCGCCCCACCTGCAGCGAAAGGGGGAGGGGCAGGCCGGTCGCTCGGGCCGAGCAGAGGAGGCGGCGGCGGCGGCGACAGGCGCACCCTCGCGCGCCAGCCTCCTCCCAAGCGTCGTAGTCCGCGGGGCTGCCCCGGTGGTAGAGCATCACGTTTGTGACCGAAGAGCCGCCCAGCGCCTTGCCGCGGCAGAGGTACACCTCCTGCTGGTTCACCGCCGCCTCCGCCTCCACGTGAAAGTCCCAGTCGTACTCGGAACGCAGCAGCTTGGTGAAGGCCCACGGCACCTGCGCACGCTTGTCGCGCGACGCGTCGCCTCCGGCCTCGATCAGCAGCACCCGGTGCGCCGGGTCGGCGCTCAGCCGATTGGCGAGCACGCAGCCCGCGGCGCCGCCTCCAACGATGATGTAGTCAAACTCGCCGTCGATCGCCGGCGAGCCGCCGCCGCGGCCGAGGCTGCCGCCAGTGACGCCGCTGCCGCCGCGAAGGCGCAGCGCGGCGCGCGCGCTGCCACTGCCGAGCCGCGCCTGCGGTGGCGACAGCGCCAGCTGCAAGGCAAAGAGCGCCACCATTAATGGAGGTCGCGGGCGAGCTCCCGCGGAGCTTGGAGTTGCTTGGAAGGAGAAGGAGAAATTGCCGCGCGAAAGAAAGCAAAGCAGTATCAAGCATTAAAAAGGCAAGACGCTCTGCGCCGTGACAACTAATCTGCATAATCTGCATCTCCCGGGATCGAGCTGCCAATGACTCGGGCCGCGTTGCTGCTACTGGCGGCGGCTCCGGCGGCCGCGTTCGCGCCAACTGCCGGCGTTGTCGCCCCGCGGCCGCTGCTGCGCGCTCCGCCGTGCGCGGATGCTGCGGCCGCGGCGCTCGTCCTCCGCGGCGGCGGCATGCCGTCCGCGCTCGCGAAGCTGCCCAAATTGCCAAAGCTTGCCGTGCTTGGGCTGGTCCTCCTCGCCGTCGTCCTCCCGCTGCTGGCGCAGGTGGCGGCGCTCTGGAGGGTCGCCCCCGAGCCCGCGCTCGATGCCGAGGTCTGGCGGAGGGCGCGGCTGCGGGCCGTCGAGGCGGAGGGCTCGATGTCGGCCGCGCAGGCCGAGGCGGCGTCCAAGCTGCTGTCGAACCATGCGGCGGTGCTGCGCGACATGACCAACAAGGCGCCGCGCTCGCAGGCGGAGCTGCCGCGCCTCCCCGCCACCGCGCAGGACCTCGTCGACCGCGCGCTCGCCGAGGTGGTCATCCGGCTGAGCGGCGAGCGGTCGGAGCCGGCGTCGAGCAAGGAGGCAGAGGTGTGGGCGCAGACGGCGCAGCTGCTCGCGGCGCGCATTCAGACCAGCACCGCCGACCTGCAGCACCACCCGCGCTTCAAGGATCGCGCGCCCGACATGAGCGCCGCGGCGGGCGCCGCCATGCGCGAGGTGCTCCGCGGGATGGCATCTTCCGGCACCGCGTGACTCGGCGGCCAAGGAAGCGGACGCGGCCCTGCTAGGCCAGCGTCCGCGATTTTGATTTGTAAAGCCCGCGGGCGGGGGCACGTTGTTGGCCGAGGTCGGGAATCACATGCACATGGCCCGGTTTGCTGCACGCGTCTCGCTGTCGCTCTCTCGTCTCTGTGTGAACCCGCACGGTGGTCGGTGCCGCAACCACGAACCAGTATACCAGAGCGCATTTACCAATGACAGCGATTGTCAGCGATGGCGGCTAGCAACTGTACAGAAACTACGTTCTACGGTCACAGAGCGCCGCAGCAGCGACTAGCGAGCTCCGAGCTCGTGGCAGTGGCACGGCCGCTCTCCTGCATGCTGCGCAACAGTGAACAGAGGGCCGGCGCAGCGGCGAGACGAGCGACAACGAGCTGCTGCGTGCAGATGCAGGAGCTGCAGCGCCGGGTAATCCCCACGCTCTCGGCCGGATTGGCGGCCAAGCGGGCAGTCTGCGCAGGGATGGCACGGCGCGAGCCCGAGACGCTCTCACTTGTCGGCCACCTTTGCCCACGTGTCACGCAACGTCACGACGCGGTTGAAGACGAGCCCGCCCGGGGTCGAGTCGGGGTCGACGGCGAAATAGCCCGTCCGCTCGAACTGCACCTGCTCGCCCGCGCCGTACTCCGCCGCGGCGGGCTCGAGGGCGCACTCGAGCCGCTCGTCGAGCGAGTGAGGGTTGAGGTCGCGCAGAAAGTCGCCGTCCTACAGGACAGCACCGAGAGCCGGTTCCGAGAAGGTCCGATGGAGAGGGCGGGAAGAAGTCGCGCAGACTCTCCTCGTGGCCGGCGCCCGGCTCGGGCGTGGTGAACAGGCGGTCGTACAGCCGGACGGTGGCGCGCGCGGCGTGCGGCTCAGAGACCCAGTGGATGATGCCCTTGACCTTCTCCCCGTCGGGCATCTTGCCCCCCATCGCGGTGCCGGGCACGTGCGAGCAGCGCAGCTCGACCGCCTCGCCGTCCTCCCCGCGCACGATCTGGTCGAGCTCCAGCACGTACCCGAACCGGAGCCGGACCTGCCCACAGCGAGCCCGCGTGCCGAGACGCTCTTCACGGCTGCACGGAGTGGAAGCGGAGGACGTGGAAGCGAGACGTGGAAGCGGAGGGGGGGGGGGGGCTGGGGGGGGGCCTTCGAGCCGACGCCCTTGAAGCGAAAGTACTTTTTGTTTGCGAACTCGTCGAAGTCGGACCGCTCGATGAGCAGCGAGCGCGAGAAGGGAACCTGCCGCATCCCGAGCTCCGGCCGCTTGGGGTGGACCTGTCCATCAACCAGAGGCGGCCAGTTGGTTGTGGCGGTTGGTCTTCGTCTCGAGCTCGAGCCGTGTGGGGGTTAGCACCGCCCCTTCGAGCATCTCCACCTCGCCCTCCGGCCAGCTCGTCACCGTCACGCGCAGCGGGTCGAGCACCTGCCGTGGGGCCCTGGGGCGGGGGGTGTGGGGCGGGGGGTGGGAGGAGGGGCCCATGTGGACAGTCCGGGGAGGATGTGTGTCGGGGGTGTGCTCTCGCACCGCCATCACGCGCGCCGCCTTCGAGTCGAGCGACGCGCGCACGCAATCCTCGAGCACCTGAGTGGGGTAGCGGAACCTTCTCGGAACCTTCTCGGAACCTTCTCGGGACAGTCCGGTCGCGAGGCGCCCTCGAGCAATTGTGCGGGCGGCAAGGGGCGCGGCGTGGTGTCGCTGGAGAGGGGGGGGAGGGGAGGGGAGGGGAAGCGAGGCTGCTGCGCCGAGTAGTCGATGTTGTTGAGCGCCTTGCTCACGCCTGTCCGGTCGACGAACAAGCGGATCGCCTGCGGCGACATGTCCAGGACACGTCCGACGCCTTCGACCTCGGCTCCTCTCGGCTCCTCTCGGCTCCTCTCGGCTCTGCGCGGCCTCAGGAGGAACGCCTCGCCGCCGCAGCCCGACGAGAGTCGGCATGCGAGGGTCGTCCCAGCCAGAGACGTGCCTACGCCAGAGATGCGGGGAGATATCGGGAGATATGGGAGATGCGGGGAGGGTCGTCCCAGCCAGAGACGAGCCTACGTCGGGTGTACGCCACGTCTCGGGCGTATCTCGGGCGTGTGGCGGGTCCTCCGGGCCGGCGACGTGCCCCTCGCGCACGAGCTGGATCAGCTTCCGCTTCGAGAGCACGCAGTACTGCAAGTTGAGCCTGACACAGAGTCATGCTCTCTGCTGCTACGAGGGGGGGGCACGCAGCGGCGCGGCGGCGCTGCTGCCTCGAGAACTCGATCTGGCGCGGGGTGCAGGGCACGCCGGGCGTGTTTGCGACGATCCAGTCGTAGAGAGGTCGGTGCGCCTACTCTCGGCTGGTCTCGGCTGGTCTCGGCTGGTCCCGCAGTTTGCGACGGTCGCTAGCGATGCCTCGAACTCGGTGGTGCAGAGCGAGTGCGTGATGCCTGCAATCAGCCGGTCGCGGTGTCGAGGGGGGAGAGGGGCGGAGGCGTGTGTGTGGCGGCGGGAGGGCGGCGGCGCCTTCCAGCGCATCCGTGAGCGAGTGCGCAAAGTCGTACATCGGGTAGACCTGCGCTCTCGGGGCGGCACGCGTCAGAAGGCGCGGCTACACGCCTCCACCACCGAGACCGCAGCGGCGGAGCCTTCCACTTGTCCCCAGTCTGCGGGTGGGTGGCGGACCTACAGCGGGGATCCGAGAGGGCTCCGACAGGGCCCCGGCTGCAGCCTTCTCCCGCCCGCGCGAGGCGGACCGCTTGATGCGGTAGATGGTCGGGTCGCGCAAGTTCATGTTGGGGCTCGCCATGTCGATCTTGAGCCGCACGACGGCGGCGCCGTCCTCCATCTCCCCCGCCGTCATCGCGCGGAAGAGCGAGACGCTCTCCTCCACCGGCCGATCGCCTGTGGGACACGTCCCGGACGTGTCACGGCACGCGCCCTCGGACCAGCCTCTGCCCCTCGGAAGGTCGCTCGCGGAAGGGCGAGTCGCGGCCGGGCGAGGTGAGCGTGCCGCGGTACTCGCGCATCTGCTCCGCCGACAGCTCGTCCACGTATGCCAGCCCCTCGCGCACCAGCTGCTCCGCGTACGCGTGGAACTGCTCAAAGTAGTCGCTGGCGTGCGTCAGCCGGTCGGCCCAGTCAAAGCCGAGCCAGCGCACGTCCGCGAGAATGGCGTCGACGTACTCGCGCTCCTCCTTCTCCGGGTTGGTGTCGTCGAGCCGCATGTACGTCCGCCCGCCAAACTCCTCGCCCAGGCCAAAGTTGACGCAGATGCTCTTTGCGTGGCCGATGTGGAGGTAGCCGTTTGGCTCGGGCGGGAAGCGCGTCACGATGGAGGAGTGCTTTCCGCTGCCGAGGTCCGCCTTGATGATGTTGCGCACAAAGTTGGTCTGCTCAACCTCGGCAGGCGCGGCGGCGGCGGCGGCCGACATGCCGCAGGCGTCGGCCCGCCGGAGCGGCCGCAACGCGCCTGCTGCAGCGAGGCGGCGCACGCGCGCCCCGCCGGCGAGAGCTCGCATCGCCGGTGCAGCAGCGGAGAGGAGCAGTAGCAGACGCATGCACGCCCTCGTACGCGGCACACAGCCCGCTGTGGGAGGCCGACGGCTCTCCTCAACTAGCTCGCGGGTGGTGTGGGCGCCTGCTGGCGAGCGCGCGCGGGTTTTCTTCTTTCCGCGCTTGGTTTCCTTTTTCTTCCCTCTCCAACAAAGAAAAAGAAAAGAGGCGAAATAAGAAAACGATCGCATGTCTGCGCCTTTGGGGAGCGCGGACGTCGGCGACCGTCGCTGGCAGGCGCGGTGGCGCACCGTGTCCTCCTACTTCTCAGCGCCGTGTCTGCACGTATCGCTCGCGACGGGAGGTGCCGGCGGCGCTGCGATCTTTGCCGTGCGCTTCCTCTCGTCGCGGCAGCTGCCGGCCTCGCTCACCTGGGGCGCCGCCGTCGCCGGGCTGCTGGCGGGCACAAACTGGGCTGTCTGCCGCCGCGCCATGTACGTCATGCTCAAAGAGAAATCAGCGGCGCAACCCCTCGGTGCGAGCGGAATGTCTGAGGAGGACGCGGCGGCCCTTCGGGCAGCACTAGGAAGATAGGAAAGAGAGTACAAAGTGCGCGTGGGAGTGGTGCCTCGAGGAGCATTACGTGGACTGTTTCTATTTACAAATAACAAATCGCGGCGAGGATGCCCCGGCATCGCAGGCTAGTATTGCCTATTGGCTCTAGAGAGACACTCAGAGCGGAGCGCGTGGTAGACAGAAGACACACACCGCGGCCGACACACACCGCGGAGTTCGCAGTTCCGCTCTACCTCTCTGCGCATCATCGCGGGGCGCGCGCTCCCTCGTGCGCGCGCGTTACGCCGCCGCTCCTCACCTCCCCTGCGTCGCCGCACCCGCCAGCGCCGCCTTCGCCAGCTGCTGGCGCGCGCGGATCTCGTCGTGGTTTTTCGTCGGCTCCCAGTGCGGGTCGTGGAAGTTCTTGCTCTTGGCGATGGTCTTGTTCTTGCCCTTGAAGGACTGCCACGAGGTGCGCCGCCCCTCGCCCTGCTGCTCCATCGCCGACTTCTTCTCCTGCCGCTTGAACATCTTGAGCTTCTTCTTCTTCTTCTCAATCACCTCCGCCGTGTCGTCGGGAAGAATCTCGAGCGACTTGGGGACGGCGGGCTTGCTGCTCTCCTGCGCCGCCTCCGCCGCCTTGCGCTCCGCCGTCGCGCCCAGCCGCAGCCGCACCAGGTCGAGCTCCACCTCCGCGTTCTCCCCCTCGCCGCGGAACCGCACCAGCGCCGACCCCGAGCGAACCTCGACGATCGTCCCCTCGTACCAGCGGCCATCGCTGGCGTGGATTGCGGAGCACTCGCTGCCGGCCGCCCAGGCGGACGTGTCTGGCCGCTGGTACGGGCGCACCTCGTTGAAGTCCACCTGCGCTGTGTTGCCGAAGCCGAGGTACGTCACAAAGTAGCCGTCCTCAGCGAGGGCGACAATCTTGGCGTTGTACCACTGCCCGTCCTGCTCGTAGATGGCCTGGCACTTCTCGCCGACCGAGTAGGTCCGCAGCTCCTGCGCCACCTTTGACGAGCCCGCCGCCGCCGTCTCCTTGACCTGCTCCAGCTCGCTCGTCAGCGATATCACCTCGACGAGGTCGGCGCGCAGCTTGATCCACTCGGCGTTGTCCGGGTCCGCCGAGATGGCCGCCTCCACCTGCGCGAGTTGGGAGCGGTACTCCGCCAGCTTGTCCGACATCACCTACCCGGAACGCCTCGCCTCTCCTGCGCGTTTGCTGGGTTCACGCCCTTCCGTGAGTCTGTCAGTAAGCGCGGGTTAGCGCGGGTTAGTGCTCACTAACCCGGCACGGGTCAGCACGGGTCAGAATGGGTTACCATAACCCGGCACTAACCCGGCACTAACCCGGCACTAACCCGTGCGGCTGGGGGGCATACGTCAGCATGGGTCTGCGCCAGGTTAGTTAGGTAGGGGTGGGTTAGGGCCGGGTTAGTGCAGCGCACCCCGGGTTAGAGCTGGTTGGCGAGATGAAACGGCTGCGGCGGGCACCCGAGCCGACCTCCGCGATGGAGCCTTGGCTGCAGAAGGCCGTGGATGCCAAGCTGCTCATTGTGTCATTGTACATTGAGAAGAACACCCGCGTGCGCAGTTCGGACGGGTCCAAGGCGGTCGCTCGTGCTGGAAGTGGACCGTGTACGTCGACTAGAGCCGCGTCCCTCCTCACTGCTCCGTGCGCGCCTGACGCCCAGTCGACACACCTCCCGGTGCGCCCATGGCCTCCACTGCCATGGCAGTGCGGGCTGCAGGGGGCCCGGCCCTCAACGTGTGCCAGTGATGGCCCTAGGGAGGAGGAGTGCGCTGAGGGCGGTACATTATAGATCCTGTGGCATGAGATTGTCCCGCTCGCCATGCGCCCGCGGCTGTGGTGTGGCGAGTGAGTGAACGCACGAGACTCGAGAGACGCGAGGTCGGCGCCGCTCTCGTCCAGACACTAAACGGGCTTTTGAAGCTGCAGGGCGAGTCGCGGATGGTCTTCAAGGATATTGAGCGCGGCTCGGTCCTCCTGACGGTGGACAGCTCCGTTGACGTGACTATCGACCCGTCGAGTCTTCTCCCGTTCGAGCACGACGGGATGGCCTTCACTTTGCAGGAGGTGCGGCGCGCGGGGTGGGAGGCGCTTGTGAGCGGCTCGGACGTGGCGTTCGCCCGGCTTAGCGCGTGCTCCGAGGCGCTGCAGATGCGGGTTGGGCTTCCTGAGCTACAGTCGCTTCCTGTCCCGGTGGCGGCGGCGGAGTCGGAGGCGACGGAGGAGTACGACCTCCTCGGCGGTGTGCTGAGCACCGACCTGTTGAGAGATCTTGACAGAGTGCTGAGCGTGCCGGCACCCGAAGCCCTGTCTCACTCTGCATACACGACGCCACCGCCACCGAGGGAGGTTGCAGGGGAAGGGATCGTTCAGTCCACGCCTCACAAGTTGACCATTGAGGAAATGCAAGACGGCTTGGAGTTCCTTACTCTTCGCAGTGCTGGCGGGTCTAGCAGCCGTGCGGCTGCTCAGCACACCTCCCCCTCTAGCAGATCCTCCGAGGAAGATGGCTTGACGCCGGATCTGCTGACGGATTTGGACACGACTCTTGCTGCTCGCCGGACCATTTTGGCCCCTGCGGCTGCTCAGCACACCTCCCCCTCTAGCAGATCTACCGAGGAAGAGGACTGTCTGACCTACAGATGAGCGCATCACACTGTGCGTTATGTATTACATTTGTCGGTTCTGTCGATGTTATTCTTTGAAGGATGGCAGTAAGAGAAGACGTGTCTGTCGAGATTATCACACTTTTGTTTATTGGGGCACACATACATGGAAAGAGCGCGCGAGAGAGATAGAGAGGCCGCAAACAATTGCGTTTCTTTTTTTCCCCGCTCCCACCTTGGTTGCCGCGCGTTTGTGCAGGCGCTGCAGCACCGCGGCGCCGCAGCACCGCTGCGCCCCGCTGCCGCTACACGCTGGCCAACAACACCGCTGCGCGGCGCCGCTACTAGCCGACAACACCCAGCGGGTCGCTTGTACATGGCGTCTCCAATCTGCTCGGTGAGCTCGAGCTCCGAACGGCCCAAAGGCAGTGCGGTCGTCGACCTCCGAAGGGCCCCCGGCCGCGGCGTGGTGCGGCGGCGTCACAAATCCGACGGCAGAGCACCGGGACGCGGTCGGGCGATCTGAGGTCCAACTAGGCGTATGGATTGCCCACCCAGGGCTATCACCTGGACCCATCAACAGGCGCCTGCGGCGCCGTGGTCAGGAGGTGTTGTTCACACTAGGTCTAGCAGGTCCTTTCGCCTGCGGAGGGACGCTCAACCGCTCCACGCCACGCCGCTTGCGGCGGTCCTCTTCCCAGCTCCGCTGAGGGCCCGAGCGTTATTTCAAAGCACAAAGGCGGGTGCTGTCGACTAAGGGACAATCTTGTCTGTCGGCAGCCGAACTTGTGATGGGACACCCTCGGAATCCAACTGCGTACTACTTGGCTAGCACGCTATTGGCATGCCGGCGGCTAAGGCCGAAATCGGTTCACACCTGCTCTTGCAGGTGTGAACACAAAGGATTCACTCTTACACTTACCTGTGAAGTGTGAACAGCGGATTTTGAATATCGGTGTCGAAACACCGCTCTGACAGCGCTGAGCTACGCTTTTCGACCTCCGAAGGGCCCCCGGCCGCGGCGTGGTGCGGCGGCGTCACTGACAAGCTGCCGAGCCCAAATCACTGTGAGAGTCGTGATTTCTTGTTGGTTTTATAAAATCTCTCTCTCAAATCCGACGGCAGAGCACGGGACGCGGTCGGGCGATCTGAGGTCCAACTAGGCGTATGGATTGCCCACCCAGGGCTATCACCTGGACCCATCAACAGGCGCCTGCGGCGCCGTGGTCAGGAGGTGTTGTTCACACCTGCCCAACCATTCATGCAACCACGCACCCTGAGCTGAAACGCATTTTCTCCGCGATATCAGTCCCTGCCCGGGAAGCAGCCGGAACCCTGACTGCTCATGCTCCGCTTTTCTTCGGTGAGCCCCGCCCAGCTCTTCCAACACTGCCCGCGAGACGTCCGAGCAGCCGTCCCTCCCCCGCGCGCGCACACCCCAAGCGGTCTCCGCCGCCGGCTCGCAGGTTGCGCGCGCCGCGCCCGCGCTTTTCCGCGCCGCGCGCCCGCCTGCGCGCGCGATGGCCGGGGGTGGCAAGCCGCTGGTGGTGCCCGAGTCTCCGTTTGACGGGCCGGCGGAGGGCAGCTTGGCGCGCTCCGAGCCGATTGTGGAGATGGGCGTGAGGTACGAGGCAGGCAGCCCCTCGCCGATGGAGAGTATCCTCAGCCAGGAGCCGATCGTCGTCGATGGGCTCCTGGCGGTGACGGGCGGCGGGGCGCTCGGCTTCCCCAAGCAGTTTATCAAGCTCAAGCCCGACGACCCGACTCCAGTGGCGTGCACCTACTCGGGGCTGCGCTTTGTGAGCAAGCAGGCACCTGCGGCCGGCGCCAGCCCACCTCCTCCCCCGCACAATCTGAGCGTACGCCGCGCCCCCCCCAGGCGCTCAAGAAGGCAGGCAAGTTGTGACTGACAGTCTAGTGCTAGATGTTCGATTCGAACTCCGATTCGTCGCGGTAGCCACCTCTCGGCAGGGCAAGCGGCGCGGCCTCTCCCGTGTTTTCATGATTATGTGACGTTCATCGGTGCGTTTCACGCGTGTCTCGTGAATAAAACGTCAAAGTGCGCCGCCGCCGGCGGTGTGAGCGGGGCTCGCCGCCCCGCCCCCCGGCCCCGCGTGACGGCGCTCGTCTGTCATGCTCGATGTGGTCGATGGCGTCCCACAACTCACGACAGCGGAGCTTGCACACCTGTCACCTCACTCTCACATGTCATGTTTAAGTTCAACAGTTCAAGATTCAAGTTACCTCCGCATTTGATGACTGTGATCTGAGCGGCTCTCCCACGCCGGTCGCCGCGCCGGCGGCCGCCCACCGGGGGCGTCCCCGCCTCTGCCTCGTCGTCGCCACTCTCACACACACGCCTCCAGCGGATCGATCGCCGAGACGCGCCAATCCGTCGGGAGCGCCTCCACCTTGCCACGAGCCGGGCCGGCTGCCGCCGCCTCCTCTGCAGCGGCATCCGCCAGATCGGACGAGGCCGCCGAAGGGGCCCATATTGTTGGTCCTGCAGGCATCCATGCGCCGCCGGTGGCCTCGGGCGGCGACTGCACCTCGCCTTCAAACACCCAGGTGCTCTGCTGCGGCCCGTTCTTCGAGTCTGTCGAGAAGCAAACGTGCATCTCTGCGCGACCATCGTACGGCTCAGCCAAGAGGGCGCGGCGCAGCCGGCATGAGACAACCCGCGCCTCACTCTCAGCGCGGTGCGATGCGCGATCACCATCCAGCGCCAAACGCATCGCTGCGAGACACGCCGGCGCGAGGAGCGGGGCCAGCGCTTCCCAGTCGCGAGAGCGCAGTGCTGCTGTCGTTATGCAGTAGGCGTGCTGGGCGCCTCGCAAGAATTCTTCCGGATCAAGGCCGGCAAGGAGGCGTAGTGATGCCTACAGATGGCCGTAACTTTTCCTCCATCCTCCTTTCCTCTGTCCTTATAGCGTGCCGCTAGCTGCTCCTCGCCTTGAGCTCTGCGAGCTCCCAGAGAGAGAGGCTCGGGTCGACGAGGTCACGCTCTGCTGAGACCCAGCTGTCGACCGTTTCGGCAGGATTGAGCGGCCGCGATCGAGGAGCGCTTGCCGGCGAAAGTAGGCCCCGTGTTGCTAGCCTTGAATGTCGCAACATCGACGGACGGACGAGTCCTGGAAGTTTCCCCACGCACTTATTTTTTTGTCGCGAGAGCCTCGATCGCCGCGAAGTACGGCTGGTCGAGCTCGCACCCGATTGGCTCCACGGTTCCGCCGCCAGGTGTGGCTTGAGACCCGACGACATCAAGAGGCTACTGCGGGAAGCGGGCGGCTGCCCCGCGCGCGCGCTGCTGCTGCTCGCGCAGTCGACCCCGAACGGGCCCACGGTCCTCATCTGGGGCGGGACTCTCTCCGGCAGCAACCTCGTGGATGGCTTTTCGTGGGCCGACCCAGACGACAACAGCCAGCTGCTCTTCGACGCGCTCTCCTTCGCCCTCAAGCCCGCGCCCGTCATCCGTCAAGACGTTGAGACTCCTTCAGGACTTGTGGCGAAAGAGCGACTGCGCTCCCTGTTCCCGGGGCATAACTCCCCCACAGCGCAGACGTTCACACTTCCACACCCACAGCGCATCGTCCAAGACCTGTCTTGTGTGTCCTCGTGCCTGGCCTGTGGTGGGGCGGCCTCGGAGGCATCCTCGCCGTCGTTGGGTCGAGCGTCGTTCTTTGCTGCTCCGGCTGAGTTCCTCCCCTCGCAGCTCGCTGCCTACTCGCTGCCTCGAGGGAGGGGGGGAAGAGGTCGAGCGGGCGCCACTGCGCTAGCACGGCGCGAGGCCCCTCCCCGAAAGGCAAGTACTAGCCACACGAAACCGAGACCCTCCCCCCCGCCCCGATCCCCCTACCCCCTTACTCCCCTCCCCCCCTCGGGAGGGCCGAACAGAGGCGCCGGGACCCCGAAATCCCCTCCCACCCTCGGAGGGCCGGACAGAGGCGTCGAGGGGCCACGCTCTTTCCTTCGCATATAGCGGCCACTCTACGGATCGCTGGTCGAGCCACCCGGGGGATGCCCCGCGCGCCTGTGAGCTGTGACCCAGGCGCGAGAAACGAATCTGCGAGGCGTGGCCGCTTATGAGGCCCGATGGGGAGGAGTAGTGGGGCGGACTACGGGGATCGGCCTCTTACACCGCCCTTCCCTGCAGCGAGCCCCTCCAACCCATCTCTCCCACCCACAGCACCCACCCGCCCGCGCGCGCTAGGTCCTGGGTGACGCAGGGGAAAGAAAGAAACCCTGCCGGCGAGCCTGTGGCGGGAACTAGCTAGCCTGGGCAGTCAGTCGGAGAAGGCGCAACTCAGTGCACTGACGGTCGGCCGTCAGAAAACACGTCACACCAACCCTCGCTACCCAACGCGGCCAAAGGATATTCACGAGAACCTCGAGAACGCCTGCGTGATAGGATCGAAAGAGAAACGAGAGTCCCACAAGCAGACGCCACAGCACACGGGCACGCTGCTTGTGTCGCCTCGCGCCTCGTTCGCCTCGTTATGGGAGACATCGGGGCCGAGTTCGCGGCGTTCAAGAGCGACATGCAGAAAAAGGACCAAGCGCTTGACGCCTTCTACCTGCTCGTGTGTGGAACCTTCGTCTTCTTCATGCAGTGCGGGTTCGCCTTGCTCGAGGCCGGCACAGTGCGCTCGAAAAACACAAAGAACATCCTTCTCAAGAACCTGCTGGACGCCTGCCTCGGTGCCATCATCTGGTGGGCGTGGGGCATGGGCGCCGCGTACGGAGAGAGTGGCGAATCGGATGGGAACGTATTCATTGGCACGGCGCCAGACGGCGGCGGCCCGTTTCTCGCGGCCGGCTGGGCTGAAGTCGGTTTTGACCCGGCCAATGGCAAAGTCCTCGCCCTCTGGTTCTTCCAGTGAGTCCTCCCTGCGCGCCGTCGCCCCAGCCGCCACCGCGCAGAGCCACTCTCCGCCGGCATCGCAGCGGCGGCCCCTGACCGCGCCCCTCGCTCCAGATATGTCTTCGCGGCGACTGCGGCCACCATTGTCTCGGGGGCGGTCTGCGAGCGCGCCACGATCGGCGCCTATATCGCCTACACCTGCTTCATCACGGGCCTCATCTACCCCGTCGTTGTGCACTGGGTCTGGTGCGACAACGGCGGCTGGCTAGTGTGATGCGGATGTGTAGCCACTACACCGAGGAGCGGGAGGGGGCCCGGCGTTCATCATCTAATGCGTTTGTGTGCTTTTAGGCTTCCTCTCGGGCGCCTTCACCCAAGACAAGGACAAGACCGTCCTCGGCGGCTGCCTCGACTTTGCGGGCTCGGGCGTGGTGCACTTGACAGGCGGCGTCGCGGCGCTCTGCGGCGCAATCTTCATCGGGCCTCGCATCGGCCGCTTCGACGACGCCGGCCAGCCTGTGCCGATGCCGGGCCAGTCCACCCCCTTCCAGGTCCTCGGCACCTTCATCCTCTGGATGGGCTGGTACGGCTTCAACCCGGTGCCGCCGCCTGCACCCCGGCCTCGCGCCTCATCCCTCACCCACATGCCCTCACCGATTTTGCCTTCTCCAGGGCTCCACCCTCGGCATCACGCCCGCCGGGTACGGCACCATCATGGCGCGCGCCGCCATGTGCACAACCCTCTCCGCCGCCGTGGGCGGCATCACCGTCGTCGGCTTCGGCCGCATCTTCTCAAAGACGTACGACGTGGGCATGATGTGCAACGGCATCCTCGCCGGCCTCGTCTCCATCACCGCCGGCTGCGCCTGCATGCTCCCGTGGGCCGCCTTCCTCACCGGCTTCATCGGCGCCTTCGTGTACTACGGCGCCTCCAAGCTCATGCTCAAGCTGCAGATCGACGACCCGCTCGACGCCTTCGCGGTGCACGGCGCGTGCGGCTTCTGGGGCGTCCTCGCCGTGGGCGTGTTCGGCCACCCCGACTACGTCAGCTTCGGCTGGAACGGCGAAAACGGGGACGTCGCGGGCGAGGCGCACACCGGCTTCCTGTACGGCGGCAGCACGCTCTTCGCCGCGCAGCTCGTCGCGCTCATCATCGAGTTCGCGTGGGTGGGCTGCACCTCTTCGATCCTCTTCTTCACCCTCAAGATGACAGGCGTGCTCCGCGTCTCGGAGCAAACCGAGCGCAACGGCATGGACCCGAGCAAGCACGGCGGCTCCGCGTACAACTAGTCTACTGACGGTCGCTGCCGGCGAGGGCTGTCTCAAGGGAGACGGAGAATCGCAACTCCTCTCGCCGCGCGTGGGACAGCGTGCCTCGGGATAAGATTCGATCTTCCCGCGGGCAGCCCCGCGTGGCAGAACGCGCATGGGGATGCATGGGTTCGTGGAACGCGGGCACTTCTGGGTAGGGCGGCGGAGAATCGCAACTCCTTTCGATCGCCGCGCGTGGGACAGCGTGCGCCTCGGGATAAGATTCGATCTTCCCGGCGGCCCCGCGCGGCGCCGGCGGGCGCGCATTGCTGGGGGCATGTGGGGGTTTGCGCGTGGCATCACTGCACACTGGCATGGCTCAATAAACAAAAATAAAGAAAAACGGACACTCTACAGTCTACTTACTACTTACTCTAGGAGAGGTCCCCGCCCGACTCCCGTGTAAACTGTAATATGCCACACACACACCAATATATCATATATGTATGTATTTAGGCATTAGGGAAGGGGGAAAGCGGAAGCGGAAGGCGAATGTTGGACGCAGGGTAAAAAACAAATCCGCGCGCACCTGGCAGTGTGGCAAACCTCCCCAGACCCCCACCTGTGAAGCTGAAGCGTGAAGGGGCAAGGGCCTGTGCGTACGACATGACATGTTTTGCGAGTATATGGGACAAAAGCGTAGAAAATGTCCCAAAAAGCGTGTCTCGAGTTTGTGGCAGCCCCACAGCCGGCGCGCGCTGCCAGGAAGCACCGCTCGCGGGTCGGCCGCACTCCCCGGCACCCAGGGAGTGCGGCCGACCGACCAGACCGAGTAGGCTCGACGCCGCGCTCGGTGTGGGGCTGCCACAAACTCGCCGCCGAACGTGCCACCGACGGCGTCCTGGCGGAGGTGGTGGAGTTTGAGACCTGAGGCTGCGGAGGTGACGCCTGAGGTACCGGCCCGTGCACGGCGACTCAGCCGGCGACCGCCACGGGCTCAGACGAGACTTGTCGACGCGTTCCGGCTCAGCTTCACCGTGGTCCTCGGGCGTCTGTCAACGTCAGGACCACCCATACAGCTCGCGGGTTCGAGGTCGCAAGAGCCAAGATGGTGGCGTTTGGACATCCCAACCATCACACAAGACAGCCTGTAGGTGGTGGCGGGACGGCGAAGTGTTTGTGGCACTCGGCAGTAGGCACCCGCGGCACGGCCCCGCTGTCGGCTCTCGCGGGCTGCGGAACCGGCCCCAGAGGGGGACGGTCCGGGCGAGTGTGGCAGCTCCTGCGCTAGTATGGGCAGCCTCTATCATAGCACTACTGATCCTGGTCATTAGAGCTGCCAGGGATAGCGTCAGGGGCCGGTAGGAGTCAAAACCCCTCATATTTGAGACATCGTGTCCCATATACTCGCAAAACGAGCCAGCTGTGAACAGGCACACATGCCGTTTTTTTTTACGAGACACGGGTTTCAGTTGCCGCCGCATGTGTACGAAGTACAAGTAGAACGACATGCCCGCTCCCGCTAAGCAAGTAGAAGTAGCACTAGAAACCACACCACAATGTCCGGCCTGACTTGAGGCCACATGCCACGGCTAGAGCACATAGAACACGGGTGAGGACTAGGCAAAGCAGCGGCTCCTGGCCAGCGCCGAGCGGGGAGGGGCGTTGCTCGAGACACCAGAGGTGGGCGGGAGAGGGAAACGGAGGGCGCAGCGGAGGGGCGGGGAGCGAGACCGCCATAGGCCATCATCGGATCACTTCAGGCCGCTCGGGTTTTTCTCGATGAACTGGTTGATCCACTCTGACGTGACGGACTTCGGCCGTTCGAGCGGCAAGCCTGAGGCGGTAGTCGCGGGCTCGGAGGTGGGGCGGGGCGGGCCGCGGCGGTGCAAACGGCGGCCGAGGGCTATCTCTCGGCCATCTCTCGGCTATCTCTCGCCGAGGGCGCGGTCCCAGAACAGCTGCGCGAGGACGCCAAACCCGCGCCCGAGGCCAAATAGCACCTAAGGAAGGGGCGAGTCTCGTTCGGGGCGGGGCCCTCCCTTGGCCGCTGCGGAGGGCGGTGTGCTGCCGTGTAGTAGTCGTACTTGTCGAAGCCATAGTGCATGAGCAGCACGCCGGAGTGCGAGTCGACGTTCGGGTACATGCGGCAAGTTAGGTAGGCGGGCAAGCCCCGCGGCGGGGAGGGGGGGGCGCACGGGTTCTTTGTCTTCCCGTGCTCGGTGAGCACGCCCGGCATCACCTGGTAGACGGTGTTGACCACCTTGAAGAGCTCGTCCTCGGGGAAGTGCCTGGCGGGGTCAGGGTCAGGGTCAGGGTCAGGGTCAGGGTCAGGGTCAGGGTCAGGGTCAGGGTCAGGGTCAGGGTCAGGGTCAGGGTCAGGGTCAGGGTCAGGGTCAGGGTCAGGGTCAGGGTCAGGGTCAGGGTCAGGGTCAGGGTCAGGGTCAGGGTCAGGGTCAGGGTCAGGGTTAGGGTTAGCCCTCGGGGAAGTGCCTGGCGGGGGGCGGCGGCGAGTGGGGCGGGGGAGGGCGGCGTGAGGCCGTCTCGAGGCCGCTTCGGGCGTGGCTCACTTGAGCGCAAACTCGCGCTGCGACGTGTAGCGCGGGTCCGTCTTGCGAAGCACGGCGTGGCCATACCCCGGGATGACCTTGCCGGAGTTGAGCGTGTTCCACGCGAACTCTGTGATCGACTCTGGCGTGACGGGCTTGCCCTCCGCCTTGAGGGTCGCCTGACCAGTCGCGGGGCGGTGCGGTGCCGTGGGTCGAGCGAGACCCCTACACCCCCTCCTCCCTCCGGGGACCCCTACCCCCCCCCCCCTCCTACACCCCCCCCTCCCCCCTCCCTCCGGGCCCCCTCCTCCCTTCCTTCGGCCGCTGACTGCGCCTTCAGGCCGGCAGCCCGAGCAAGCGCCTCCGGGTCGGCGCGTCTGGAGAGCGCCCGAGGGAACCCGCGAGAGGGTCCAGAGAGTGTCCAGGGAGGGTCTAGGAAGGGTCTAGGGAGGGTCTAGGAAGGGTCTAGGGAGGGTCTAGGAAGGGTCTAGGAAGGGTCTAGGAAGGGTCTAGGGAGGGTCTAGGGAGGGTCTAGGAAGGGTCTAGGGAGGGTCTAGGGAGGGTCTAGGGAGGGTCTAGGGAGGGTCTAGGGAGTGTCTAGGGAGGGTCTAGGGAGTGTCTAGGGAGTGTCTAGGAAGTGTCTAGGGAGGGTCTAGGGAGGGTCTAGGGAGTGTCTAGGAAGTGTCTAGGGAGTGTCTAGGGAGTGTCTAGGGAGTGTCTAGGGAGGGTCTAGGGAGGGTCTAGGGAGTGTCTAGGAAGTGTCTAGGGAGTGTCTAGGGAGTGTCTAGGGAGTGTCTAGGAAGTGTCTAGGGAGGGTCTAGGGAGGGTCTAGGAAGTGTCTAGGAAGGGTCTAGGGAGGGTCTAGGGAGGGTCTAGGGAGGGTCTAGGAAGTGTCTAGGGAGTGTCTAGGGAGTGTCTAGGAAGTGTCTAGGGAGGGTCTAGGGAGGGTCTAGGGAGGGTCTAGGGAGGGTCTAGGGAGTTCTAG